AAAAAAAAAAAAAAAAAAAAAAAGTAAGCTGGAAGAGGGACTTTCCTGGCGGTCCAGTGGTTGAGACTTCGCCTTCCGATGCCGGGGGAGCGGGTTTGATCCCCAGTCCAGGAGCTAAGATCCCACATGCCTCCTCGGCCAAAAAACCAAAACATAAAACAGAAGCAACATTGTAACAAATTCAATCAAGACTTTAAAAGTGGTCCACATCCAAAAAAAAAAAAAAAATCTTAAAAAAAAAAAAAAAAGCTGGAAGAGCCCTAAGCATCCTTACACTCCAGGGAGCAGCATCTGGGCAGGGGATGCGGGGGACGGAGCCCCTCTGGGGACGCAGGGAGGGTCTCCACAGTCAAGTGCAGAGGCCGGGGTGGGAGAAGGGCAGATAAAACCGGAGAAGTGAGCCCAGCTGAAGACAAAGTGTGAGGAATAAACAAGAAGCAAGTGCTCAGGGGCGGGGAGGAGGTGCTCTTCATGATACAAACAGAAGTGAAACCTGCGTGAGGTCGGCTTTAATCTTGCACGTGAGGCCAGCTCTGGTCCTTCTCAGAGGCAGACGGAGGGGCCCTGGACCCAGGGTCCAGACTGTGCCCTGAAGATGTGTAATTTTTAACATTCTGTTCTTCCTCGGTAAAAAAAAAGTCCTTGATTTGTAAGATATCAAACTTTTCTGAATGAAAGGAAAGTTCTGGAAAGGAGAGCTTGTCCCGAGGCCCGCTGACTGCTGGGTGGGGCAGGTCTGCCTCTCTCGTTCAGTGGGGTGTTTACTCGGCCCCCGCCCTGCATCCCTCTCGCCACCCCAGGACCACCCACTGTCTCTGGGTTGGATTTCATTTGCAGTGTCTCCATACCCCGTTTACTCCTCCTTGCCGCGCCTCCGGCCTGGAGACCCTCGGCCCTGGACTCTCCCACCACCCCGGTGGCTGGTGTGACACAGGGGCCTCGGCCTCAGAGCTGCAGCCGGTCCACGCCAGCCGGGGCCTGAGTCCGCACCACGGGGAGTCTCTGGGCAGTGTTGCTGTTTCCTTGGCCACATGGACTCCACTTAGCTTTCAAACCCTGAATTTTCAAGCCAAATTGCAGCGGTTTCCATGGAGACGGGCGCAGTGAGAAGCCGTCTGCTCCCAGAAACCCAGGGTGCTGGGCATTGTGACCAGATGGTGGGAAGTCCACCCAACAAAAATCTTGATTTGCAGATCTGTTGTTTATATGAATTTAGCCAGAAAAAGAGATTCTTTCCTAAACTGAAAGTAGGGTTTGGGAAAAGAAGGACGGCTCTTTGTTCTGTTTTGTGTGACTTGAGTGGATGCTGTGGGGTTTCGTGCGCGTCCTCTGGGTTCATTAGCATCTTACTCGCTGTTTGTGTGTTTGTGTCCCCAGCGTGCCCTTCCATAAAGCATCTCTGACGCTCACCACATGTGTGAACTTTGAGATGTTTTACCGTTGGGTAAAGGCAGAGAAACTCTTTCTGCCCAATAAGGAAGGTACTCTAACCCGCCAGGAAAAGTCCTCTTCTTTCTCTGGGGATGGGGTGACTCGGGCAGCATTGGTTTTATCCTTGATGAGATAGGATGGGGCTGGTGGGGCCTCGTGAACGCAGCTTTAAGGAGGAACCAGGCCCAGTCCTGTGACCTGCCGTTTCCTGTCCTTCCCCGTCTCCAGAGCCTGTCCCGGGTGCCTGCCGACCTCTTTGCTCCAACACGTGACTCTAGACCACCCTGGACGCTGGGCCTCATCCTCCCCGGCTCCCACCCGGCCCTCCCTCTGCTTGGACAGGCTGGGCCTGGCAGGTCCCAGCTGCCGGGCGGTGGATGGCATCAGTCCAGTGTGTCAGGTTGGCAGGAGGCTCCTGGCGACTCAGGAGTCTGAGTGCGGCTGCCCTGGGGCTGCCCTGGGGCTGCCCGAGCCCTTCTTGTTTTCACACCGAGGACCATCCGCCCACCTCCAGGGCGTCCCTGTGTGTTCAGAAGGTGCACAGAGGAATCTGCCCTTTCCTTCCTTCCTTCCTTTTCTTTCTTGTTCTGCCGTCTCTGTCTAAACCTTGCACTTTACCTACTCTCTGATAAAGAGTAAAGAGGCTTTACAGGTACCTATTCATTTATGATCCTCTTGGTTATAGACACAGAAGGCAGAGTTCTAAATCAGCTCCAAATCTCTGCACTGTCCCCCCTGGGATGGCTGCTCACACAGGGCTTCCAGATGACTCCACTGGTCAGGCAAGAGTTACACTGAGGTGCGTAGAAAGTCACCATCCTCACCATCCACCCACTTCACTCCTGAAACCCTCCAGTAGCTTCAGAACTCTTTGTGTGCTAACCATTTGCTTAATGTTCCCCCAGACTTAGATCATTTGGCTAAGTGATCAGCCCGAGTCAGCGGTGGGTGCTGTTCTCGTGGGCGCTGGGAGCCTGTGCACCCACCCAGCTCATTGCAGGCCTCCTCTCCATCCTTTTAAAAAAGCATTTAGAGAAAGCTCACTGGGGCGCTCAGGTTGGCATTGGGAAGACCGCGGTTGTTGAAACTTTGGTTGCGATTAAAGGTCATTTCTAGAGACCAGGGACCTTTTACTAATAGTGATTACATCAACAGTGCTTTAAAAATACAAATTGTGACACATCCGATGGACTAATTCACCAGCCCAGCGTTCTTCAAAAATGTCAAGGTCATCAGGGAGAGATGGCCTCAGGCACTGACCTAGCAGACTGGAGACTTACGGAGGTGTGACAGCTTCCTGCGTCGTGGGACCCGCCTTCGGGTCCCTGGGCAACTGGCCTCCGTGGGGAAGCCAGTGAGGTCTGAGTAGAGCCCGCGCTGGTTGGTGTTGCTGCAGCAGTGGGAATTCCTGCTTTGAACGATGCTTCTGTGTTTCTACAAGGTTAACATCCAAGACCTGGTGCAGGGAACTCTGTGCTGTTGCAGCTTTTCTGTAAAGTCTAAGATGATGTCAAAATGAAAGGTCGGAAAGGGAAAAGCATCTACTTACTTGAAAACGTTCACTTTTGGAAAAATATGGATGAACTAGACTCCCTCCTTGTGTCTCCTTCCTCCAGCCCCGGCGTGAACACGACTGAGATTTGTGCTCTTTTTGTTGTCTTGTTTTGCAGACAGAGTTTACATGGGGCCGGGGCAGCTGTATCAAGATTTACAAAACTTGCTGCATGACTTAAATGTCGTCGGTCAAATCACTCAACTGGTTGGAAACCTCAAAGGAAACTATCAGGTGACAGTCGAAGCCACTTGGCTTAAAATTCTCTTTTAATTTCTAAGTCGTTGTCAGCATGTGATCCCACCTCCCGGTTCTGCCAAAAGCGAGAACTGATGTTACTTTAAGAATCGATCTGATCGTGTATTTTCTCCTATTTTGGAGAAGGTGAAGCGCTTTTGGTGTAACTTTTGTTCATCCGGAGGCTGACTTGAGCGTCAGTTCTCTTAGGAATGTCCCAGCACCACATGACCTGCCTCCCAAAGGTGCTTTTTTCCCGGTCAGATGAGTGTTACTGGTCTCCCTGGGTTTTTCATGTCTCGGCATCGCTTCTTTTCTCTCCCTCGGGATGGTCCTGTCTTATTAACATCTTTACGTGTGCTTGTGCATCTCCTTCCTAGAATTTGAACCAGTCGGTAGCCCACGACTGGACCTCGGGCTTACAGAGGCTCATTCTGAAGAAGGAAGAGGAGATCAGAGCGGCCGACTGCTGTCGGATCCAGTTACAGCTCCCAGGGAAGCAGGACAAGTCAGTAAACGTCGGAAGGGAGCCTCCGGGCCAGCACTGAGAACAGGGCCCTTTGCCATGACGTGCATGTCTTCGCGGTTTGGGGATTGTGTCTGAGGGGCAGGCCCCGTGACTGGGTTTCACACGATGGAGCCCATTGCGTGGAGGGCATTGTCTTTTCTTCTCCCCGGCAGGTCCGGCCGGCCGACTTTCTTCACTGCCGTGTTCAATACCTTCACCGCCGCCATCAAGGAATCCTGGATCAACAACCTGCAGATGGCCAAGCTCGCCCTCGGTAAGAGCCGATTGATCTCAGCTAAATGAGGCATGTTCGAACAAGACGCAATGTCCGTTCCTATTCTGTGATGAAATGCACGCCCAAGAGGATGAGGTCACGGCTGAGAAGTAAACTTTGCAACAGGTTCATCCATTCACCTGAAAGAATGTTTCCACGTGGGAAAAAATCAACCCTAGTGCAGCGACTTTTAAGACGTTTGTGTTATAATTTAAGGGTTGTAGGGGAAAAAACCTCATTTTTATTATAACAAAACATTAATATGAGTTGAGATGGTTCCATACAAGTGAAAGTCCTTTGAGTCTGTGGCCTGTGAGGCAGGACCCAGCCCCGGGTCTGGCCCACAGGATGAGAAAGTGATGGCTCGTCTCAGCTGTTTCCTCACCCCTCACCTGTGACATGAAACACAGAAGTGGACCGAATTGTCCCTGAAGACCCTCTAAGCTCGAAAAATAAGTCCTGTGGTTCTATCAGAGATGGGAGTGACTCTGATTATTTTCTTGTCCCTACGTCTCTTTAGCCTTGCCTTCTTTTTTTTTTTTTTTTTTTTTTTTT